TGATGTCAATTTTAAAGTGTGTTAACAGAACCAACACAGAAGCAGTTAAACCTATTCGGCTTAACCCCAATTTACCCCCGTTTGGTCCCCTTGGCCGATGGAAGAATGAACAAGGATCAATGACAAATAAAACCTAAACTGCACCAACAGCAGCAATTATTTAGACAAACAATAAACTGTAAAAATGATGGTAATCCTGGGTTTAGAAGATGACAATAAATTTATGCAGTTGTACAGAAAGAAAGAGAACTCTTTTTGTTGTTGTTCAAACGACTCAAACTAACAAAAACGATAAAATAAAATTTTTTCCCTATTGTACAAGGTGAAAAAAAAAACTTTTTAAATCCGGTGTAAATGTTGCGACAAAAAAATGCACTAAATTGTTGTTCATTTCAGTAGAAAAAAAATTTTTTTTTACTAATGTACTTATATCGACGAAATAACTGCCGATTAAGCAGAGCCAAATAAGGTGCTACGATACAAATAATTCAGAATAACTCTGAATAACTATTTTTCAAATTTATATTTTGATACGCTTATAAAGTCAGCAAAATAGCGAGTCCTTTTCAGAGTAATAATTAGGAGAAAAACAATTAGAAAATTTCATCTAATCAAAACAATACAATTCAATAATGCGTAATATAAACGAAAATGTGTCAAAAAAATACCAGTAGCAGTTTCTTTGTTTCTGCAGCAGAAATACGATTATTCGGGAAAACCAGAATATCATATCCAAAAGAAAGGAAAAAAGCCATCTAGAAACAAAAGTGTAGGATAATTTTCATCAAATAAAGCGAAGTTTTTGTGACAATTTTACCGAGTAAACCATCCAAAGGTCGGCAAATTTCAAATTTCGCCTATTTATCTCCAAACCCTGACAAACAACACTAAGCCTACCAACATTAAAAGGTAACACTATTAACGCTACATTAGGATTTTTAGTATTGCTTTTGAAAAAAATCGAAGAGACGGGGAAAATCTCAAAGATGTGTTCACCATTTTTTTCATTCAGATAACGTAAATTAAAGACGCAGATTTCTCATCATTCATCACAAATTCTTTCGAATGAAGTCATACAAATAGATGTATACAGAAACCAAAACTTCCAGGCCAAAAAGTTCGGAAATATGATTGGAAAAAACATTTACAGTGACAAGATAACGAAAGAAGTTTTTTTTGCTTAATTTTATTCAGCTTCTCTTGAAAATTCTCACTCAAGCTGCCAAAAATCGAACTAAATTGTATGTAGAGCATTTCAGAAGAAGTTGGAAAACCTTTTTTTTTCTACGCTTCACTTTTACACAGTTTATAACAAAAAAGACGTTTTTTTTAAATGAAGTTACTGACGAAGGAAGGCCAAAAAGTCCAGTATCTATCTAAAAAATTCAAAAAATCAAAAATGGACGTAAGGGTCATTCTCAAAATTATTATTAGAATTCAATACCTCCATTCTTTTAACAACAACAACAAAAAAAAAAAACTGGAAAACGGTGTTCCTTTTTTCAACAAAACCACTTTTTTCACCGAATCTAGTAAGTAAAAAAGTGAAAAAAACTTCTGTTCTATCTCGTTTGCTTTTGTTCTACTTTTTCAGGAAAAACTAGAAAAAATAAACAAAAATATAGAAATTTTTTTTGTTTCATTCTCAACGACATATTTACGAGCAGAATATTAGTGTATTAATTTAGCTTTACCATGCGAAAAATCGTAAATACAGTTGGCAAAAACCGTAACGAAAGCGTGGTTAAACATTTAAAAAATAAAAGTAGAATAAGTAGCTGCTGATGAAGAAAAAAAGATGGAGAACGATACCATCTTTCAACAGGATGCCGTGCAGTAATTTGGTCAACTTTTATTTGTACATAGCCAATTAACGTTGAACGATCCTTCTTCTTTTTTGGATCAGCTTCTCGATATAAATTTATGCATACATCATCCAAATTTGGTGTTGGACTAAACGGCATTGATCACTTGTAATTTTATTATCATTCATAACAAAAAAAAAAAAAAAAGTAAAAAAAAACTAACAAACCCAAAATTAAAATGTTCGCCCCAGAAACATATATCTGCACGAGGCTTTGCAGACGTACGACCCGCTAATGTTTTATTGAGGCATATTTCGCAGTAGTATCTCCTCTTTACCGGGATACCCTTCGCTTCCAATACCCACATTTCCAATGAATTTTCTGTTCTTCTCATCTGATCCCGGTGCGGATTCATCGTACGTCTCAAACTGAAATGGTACTGTTGTAAAGCTGCTGGACCGAATGTAAGGAAAAGAAGTGAAGCAACAAAGCAATGTCGTCAAACCAATGTGATACTGAGGAACATAAGAAAAATGTGCGAACCATGCAATATAAGACACCAAATATTGGGTTATGATGTAATTACTTCTAAAAAAAAGTTTTCTCAACGTTATGCGTATCCAATCACCAACAAAAAAAAGTCTTCTATATTCTGAATCAAAAATATCGTCGCCGGAGCGGTCAACTTGCAGTAACAAATTACGCAAAATGTCTGAGTTGAAATGAGCCAATTGAGAACGAATCTCCCCTAAGAAAACTGTTGTGAAAGGGGCAAATCCTAAAACTGCTTCTAAGGATTTGGCTATCAACGGTTTATAGCTTCGGAGACAGGAGGTTACAGCCAATTGACAATATGTTTGGACCACTAATATATTACCTGGATATAAGATGACTGTGAAAAATGTGATAACAGCCTTTAGTTCAGTGGTCATAACGCAGAATCAACTCCTAACAAGAATGTAGCAGCGAAACAGTTTTGCTATAAAGAAGTTACAAAAAAAGAAAACTGGAGTATATTTAAAAAATAAGTAGCTAAAGTGAATAAGAAATGTGCAGAAATCCTTCTCTTTTGTTCCCGTCTACAGAAATGTGCGAAAATCCAAACTAAAAACTTGAAATGTGAAAACCCGACTCACAGAAAACCGAACAACGATAAACGAAGCAAATGATGTCGGGTGGCCGTTATAGGAAAAAAAAACTACCCCCGCCAGACTAAAATGTGAAATCATAACTAAGCACAAACAGAAAGGAAAAAAAACGACGATGGAGTGTCCAAAATTTTCATTGACTGACTGCTTTTGCTCTTTTTTCGTCGTTTTTTCTATCGCTGCTACTCTTTTCCTTTTTTTTTTGAATAATTTTTGGGTTCTACGATTTGACAAACCAGGATTGTTCATTTTTCCAGATCGTCTTGAAGTGGCTTTCCCAATGGATGCCGAACAGAACGATGAACTCTGTGGATGGCGATCAAAGTGAATATAAGTATTTAGGTGTCTGTTTAAAGGCTGCTTTAACAACTCTGGAGTAGCGTTCCGTTAAATGGTCGACAGGAACCATAAATTAGTTTCATGATCAACTTGATGGTTGAATCTAAGTACTGTAGTCCAACGGCAGCACACAACGTGTCACCAACTGTTGCTGCTTGCTGTTGGCTGTACTGCTACTCACATAATTACAGCAGCTTAGAAGGGTTTGGGAAAAAAAAGAGGCAGAGCTGTCAATCATCTAACAACAGTAGGACATTTTTCAATATCCAGACGCAAAATTAACGGATGCACAGTTTGCTAAGGTTGAACTTTTCTGCAATTGATTTAAAAAACTCAAAAGGTGAAGGCGAAAGGTGTTAACTGCACTCGGCATTCTGCATTCATTCCTTTTAAAAAACGTCAGTACTAAAAAAGATTCAATTAAAAAACAATTTTCATTTTAGCTGGCTTTCATTTCAGATGCTAATTAAGCAGCCAAGAAAAAAAAAGAACATTGAGTGTCCAACGAAAACCAAACAATTTTTCTCAGCCCCTTCATTCCCCTCTTAAAAATACAATTATCAGTCTAATACCAGTTAGTGACTTCAATCAAATTACTATTTATCAAATAAGGGATTTTCATTAAGAAAAAAAAAGACAATTAAAAAAGTGGGTGCGAGAGCGAAATATGGTGTAAACAATGATAGAAGAATGCATAAATGAACAAATGAATAATTTATTACTTTCATACGCTGTACAGTAGCCAAAAAAAATCTAACTTAAAAAAAAACAACTATGTTAAACTCTTCTTCTCCTTTTCCTCCTTCTGCTTCTTTTTTCTTCACCACTGTTCTAAATGTTGGCTAATATTTAAAAGCTAAATCGCTTGTTAGAAAATGATGAAGACAATGATAAAAACCCGAAAACAGCAACCACAGTATTGGTACCACTACCAGCAGCAGAAGCAGAAGCATGCTGCAGCAAAATCAACAACGACAGCAACAATTTACTATCATATACTTTTCAAGTGTTTTGTCACTTTTTGATATTCACATTTCACCAACAACAACAATCACCTTTTCCCTCCTCTTCACTCGTCTTTCCATCTGTCAGTGTTGTACAATAAAAATTTTTTTAGACAACGATGACAAAAAAGTTTTTTTTGGTATAAAAGAAAAAATTTCATTTTCTCATCCAAAAAATATCCAATTCTTTCGTAAAAAGAGTACTTCAAAATCAGATAAATGGGTACTACGAGTGTATCTTCCAGTCAATGTTTAGCTTAAATTTCTTCAAATTTCCAACTGCAACAATATCAATTAAGAACGGTCACTAATAGCTGTCAAAAGCAACAACAGTAAAACAATAAAAGAAGGTTGGGAAAAACGACGATCAATTATAAATAGAAAGAAGGTGAAAAAATAAAAACACTTGTAATTTCTACTGTTTTTCAATTTCCTTTCTGGTCTGTTCATCATCATATTTGAGAAAACTTCGTCCCCAGTCCTTCCTCATCTTGTCATCCGTCTTCCCCTCTTGTCTTTTTTTTCCCACTATTATTCTTCCCCTGACGATGCATTTATTTTTAAGACCAAATCTTTTATCAGAGTTCTTTCTTTCCTTTTTTTTTTTTATTTTTTGGTTTCCTTAAGTGTCAGAAATGTTGGTGGCTGCAGCAGCAGTAGCTGTAGTAGCTAAAACAAGATATGAATATTTCTACAGCGCTATTAGTCGGTATCCGCTTTGCATTTGGCAATCATTTACTCACATAAAGCACCGTTTTTGTTTCGCAATAAGGTAAAAAATAAGTTATAAAAGAAACATTAACAAGAAAACTTCGAACCAAAATAAGATTACCAACAAAAAAAAAAAATTACACAAAAAATTTACATTCAAAAAATTATCTTCTCTTATTTATTCATTTTTTCTTTCTTAAATAAATAATTCAGTTTATTTATGTCGCTAAAAATTTAATAAAAAAATTCAAAAACCAAAACTCAAAAAAAAAAACGAAAACAAATATTATTCTTTCTCTTTTCACTTTTTTTTGCTTTTTTTTTTCACCCGACCCTTTTTCCCATTGTTTTGCTCAAGACTGTTAACTGGCAACAAAATTCTCCTTAAGTTAGGAGTATTTTTATGGCTTCAATTATGAGCAATTTGTCTGGTCAAATAAAAAACGCCTAATAGATGCAAAAACTGAAACAACGAAAGTAACAACTGGCTAACAAAAATTCCCATCTTCTCCCTCGGTTGCCTTCTCAAAACTATTCAAAATTACAAAACATTAGAACCACTAAAGAGAAGCAATTATATATATATATATATATATATATATATATATATAATTAAATAAAATAAAGTCTTAAGCAGATAAAACAAAAAAAATATATAAATAAAAATGCAAAAATAAGTT